CAACAAAACACCCTGCAGGGGATACCAAAACTTGGGATGCAGGGATTTGCACCAGGTTTAGGCAACATCCACTGACCTCAGCTCTTCCTGATGTCTCGGTTGCACTGAGGGGTGTTTCCCAAACTGTGCAAGAGTTCATGATTCCTATGTCATGAGAACAAGGTGCTTGACTTTTTACACCTCCCAGGAGATATTACCTCTTGTGCTATCTTCTGCTGCTCCTTAGGTGATGGGGAGGTTCAGAGACAGGCAGAAAATGTATTCCAAGAAACATGGGCCTGACTTCACTGTACTGTTGAGGTGCAAGGTTCTGTGCATGGCTCAGGACCGCTCAGCCTGAGAAGCATTTTTTGTAGGAGGGCCCACTCCTGCCAGGGCTGATACTGTGCTGGGCCATCTCTTGTCTGCAGCAATGTTATGAAGAGTAACACCATCCTGTCTTCCAGTCAAACCACAGCCCCCGTTCAACCTGACTGCTGTGTTCTCAGAAGGTTACAATATTTCTTGGGAAACCATCTACCAGAACTCTCATTACTATTTTTTGAATGAGGAGCTGGAATATCAGCTACGTTATAAGAGGAGGACTGACACCTGGGAGGTAAGTGAGATGTGGCTTTAAACTGGAGGAGAGTAGGTTTAGGTTAGACATTAGGAAGAAATTCTTCACTATGAGGGTGGTGAGACACAGGAACAGGTTGCCCAGGGAAGTTGTGGATGCTCCATCCCGGGAAGTGTTCAAGGAGAGGTTGTCCAGGACTTTGAGCAGCTTGGTCTAGTGGGAGGTATCCCTGTCCATGCAGGGGGATTGGAACTAGATGAGCTTTAAGGTCCCTTCCAACTCAAACCATTCTATGAGTTTATGATTCTACGTCAGTTTACCATCAAGTAGGGTGCGCCAGCAAAGAAGAGGCCAGCACAACCAGGACAGGAGTGCTGGTGTGTGGAAGCAGGGTTTTCATAGTTTAGAAAAGGTGTCACTTTGGAGTCTCTCCCAGACTGAAAACAGGCAAAACTGGGGGTGGGAAATAATTTTTTTAAAAAATCAAGAAGCAGAAGTTGCTTGAGAAGTACTAGATCCTGTAGGGAAGGCCCATAGTTCATTTGCTTCTTGTACATGGAAGGGCCCCCCAGGTCTCCCCAGCTACTGAGCAGCCAGACCAGGGCCTTGCAGAAACAATGTGGCCTTGCAGAAAACAGAGATTACTTTGCAGGCCTCCTCACTGTGCAGCAGTGAAGGCCAGGTGGGAGCAGTCATTCCATCTCTGAGTGTTCTGGTGTTCAATCATTTCCAGAATCAGAAGACTAAAGCTGTCCATGAAGATAAACGGACACTGGTGATCCTGCCATGGGAACTCCAGGTGAACACCGAGTATGAGTTCCAAGTGAGAGCCAGACCACGAAAAGGCACTGGATTCCTTGGATTTTGGAGTGAATGGAGTCCTCTGCTGAAACTGAAAACCAGCCCTGCCGGTACATGTTACCACCTCTCCTTGCCCTTGCAGTTGGTACAATGTCAATGAATGCTTCCAGAACTCTAACCAAATCTAGTTAGCTGGAACAAATTTCAAACAGTCTAGTAAAGATAGGCATGTTTGGCTTGCTTATTGAGTATGTGGACTTGAGGCCTGGGCTGGTAAGTGCTGTCTATATTGACCTTCTCACCCACCTTACAGCATGGCCCATGGTGGGGATGGCTGTGGGTTTGGGTGCCTGTAGCTTCCTTTCCAGTGTCAAACATCCAGGGTCTTGCTTGCAGCTTTCAGAAATGGGGGAGATCTAGTAGAGATGCCTCCACTACTGTGGCTTAGGATTGCCTTCAGCTAAAGCAAGAGGGGAGCCTGGTCTCAGGGCTGAGGTACATGTCTGGACTCTGTTGTTTGGTGATGTTGGGCATGGGTGTCTCACTTGGTAGCCAGAACTCCCACTCCACAAGAAGCACACAGAACCCTCTGCACAGAAGTATGTTGGTGCTTGTCATGGCAGAACAGAGGCTATGAAAACAGGGAATCTTTGTTCAAACAGAGGAGGGCATGATGGCTGTGGTCAATGTCAGCAACATGTGCTGAACTTGCTGTCAGTGGTGTACAACTTGAGCTGAAGTATTACATGGTATTGTAGCATCAGGGTCAGGCTCCATTTGCTAAGGGGTTTTCTGAGTTCTGGGTCTCAAATGTGCTCCTTTCCATCATAGGCAGCGAACAGCCAACAAGCACTCAGCTAGTCAACACCTTTTCTTCACATGTCTCTGGCCAGCTTCACTTTCCCCTTCATGGATCATCTGAGGAGGTGTCCCTAAGCCAGGAGGAGGCAGAAACAGCAGGGGTCTTTGTAGCAGGGAGTTGCTGTCCTGCCCCAAGCATGTTGCCTGTTGGTTTGAGGTGCAGCCAGGCTGCAGAGCAGCTGATGCCCTGCTCCTTCCATTCATGCAGTCTTCTCTGAGCATCCTCATTCACACCTCATGTCTGTAGTACCGGGCCCTGGTGACAGCCTCAGTGTCCATAAGAGAAATCTGGGGTAGAAACTGAGGGTGTTTTCTCACCACCTCCACCTCCTGCTTATGACCAGGGTAGAAATGTAAGCTGAGCCTGAATGACCCTGTCTCTTCCTCCAGCAGTGACACAGGCATCAGGCATGGAATGGCTGGTGGTGTTTGGCGGGGTCGTGGCAGTCACTGTCTCAATCACAACCTTTCTGGCCAAACAGAGAAGGTAAGAATGCTTTAGGAAGCTGGAGTAAATGCTCCTTCTCTGGCTAAAGGTGAGATGTTCCCATGCAGCCTTCTTTGCATCTTGTATGGTCATGCATGGGCACAGCCATGGGCCTGTGGGGCTAGCAAAGTATGGTCTCCAGATGGTGTACTGCCAAGAGCACCTTGCTTTGCTCCAGGGCTCTGCTGCAATTCAGCTGGCTGGGACAAGACAATGGCACAGGGTGGGACTGAACAGGGGCCAGCCAGCCTCCTGGGCTGTTGTCCTGGTCCTGTCTGTGCACTGCAGCTGCCAGATGGGAGCAGTAGCCAGGGCTGGCCTGCCCCTTTCCAAAGCTAACACAGGGCCCCCAACATTTGCTGGGAACCTCTCTCCTGGTGGACGCCACGTGCCCGTACAGAGGAATAGGGTGCACAAGGCTGGTGCAGCAACATGGCTGGCACAGCCCACAGCCACAGAAGAAGTGCACAGGGCAGTGTTGTGGCCTGCAGATGCAGACCACAGGCCAGCCTAGCCAAGGGGAAAACACTTTTCCAGCACTTGGTGTTTTCCAGGAAGGAAAAAATTGGAATTTTTTTTTAAATGGATGCACAAGTCCTGAGGGCTGAGGTTTGACCTCCTGTGAGGCTCACACAAAAGGCCATTAGATAGCTCTGACAGCAGGAGGCATTCTTGGCCACTTGCTAACTTGTGAGGCCAGGGAGGCTGGGCGGGTGATTTCATCTGCTTAAGTTGGATCTGGAGGTGCCTTGCTTTGCATCTGCAATGTGTGCTTAACCCCAAAGCCTTCCTCTTTTCTCTTCCAGCTTGTGGAAGAAGATGGCTTGCATCATCCCAGACCCTGCTCACTTTTTCAAACCTCTTTACCTGGTGCATAATGGAGATTTCAAGGTATAAATGGGCTATATAAGTGAGTGGAGCACAGGACAAAGTTAAACTAACAGGCCTGTTATCCTATCCTGGACAAGGGTTTCTCAGCAGGGCAGTGAGAGGGGGGAATCTGTCTCAAGGAAATACCAAACAGCTTCAGATAAAAGGAACCAGAGCTCTCCAGTGCCTATTCTGAGTCATGAAGGCCTTTGTCTGTGCTGCTTATTCCCTGTAGGTGCTGTCTAAGTGGGTGAGTTGAGTGTGATACGGGAAGCCTGGGAACCTGAAGGGATACCAGAACAGTAACTGGGATTTTTCTAAAGGTCCAGGCCCATGCTGCCATCAAGGCCATGGAGCAGACTTCATGATAGAGCCAGATCTCCCACTCCAGCCTTTGCAGTGACATGAGCTCAGCATTAAGCCTCGCAGTTCTCTCTGAAGAGTTCCTCATACAGACAATAGCTGTGCATATCATCCTGGGAAGGTGGCTTAGGCTTGTGGGGCACGTAACTGCCACGTGGTAATGCAGCTGCTTCCATATGAAGGGAGTGTCTTTGAGTAACTTTGCTTAGCCCTCCCAAATTCTCTTATTTAACACCAGCCAAAGTTGCACATGTGACAGTATAGTTTGCAAAGACTGCAGAGTTTGCTGGAGTTCTCAGGGTACAAAAAGTGAAAGAACATTGAGCAGCAATAAGCAATGGTTGTGTTAAGCTGAAGAGCAACTCACACTGCCATTGTCAAACTGTAAAAGTGCTGGCATGTGAGTGCAGACATCAGTGCCTCTTTCTGAGCAAGTTCCTGTTGCTGCAACAGCACTGATCACAGCCACTTCAGTGTCTGGTTTTTGTTTCTGCTTTTTGGTAGACCTTCTGCAAGCAAGACACCAGCTGGGCCTTAATGATCTTCATGTACTTTCCCACTACTGCATTGCTGATGTTTGCAATTAAGTTAAGCCAGTAGACTTGGAGGGGGACTGTTCAGGCTGCAGCCTGGTGTGACTGTCTCACTTCCTGCCTTCCTCTTTCAGCCCGACTATGGCTTCCCATACCTGCACCAGAGGGGTACTTGCATCCTCTTGTGAGGCAGGTGGCACCGGTTGCTCTGAGAAAGGTGCCAGGACCAGGTGGACTCAGTGTGGGAATTCCCAAGAGTCAGTACACTGGCTAGTGCGCACAGTGGAAGTGAAAAATACCCTGTGTGCCAAGAGCCCTGCTCCTCTTACAGCCAAGCCATGAGGTTCACTGTTCTATGGGAATTTACATTCTTGCTGGTTTCTAGTTAGGCTGCTCAGTGCTGCTGGGAAGAGAATTAGCCTTAGTTGCTAAAGCTGAGTTACTTCTAAGTAAATGTTCAGATGAAAGCAGCAGTTGCCCACACAGCCCCAGCACAAAGTGTGTAGGCAGAGGGTGTGGTGACATCAGTCTGTGGGATCAGACACATCACTTTCGGCTGGCAAGAAACCAGTTGGTGTAGGGCTCAGCCAACTGCATCCTACCTGTATCAAAGCAAGTGGTTAAGTTATGTCCATGAATAATGATCAGCAGATTACAATACACAATCCTGGGTTGGGTAGGAAGCAGTGAAAATGTCAGAGAAAAAGTTAAGTCATAAAAAGAGAAGGGAAAGCAGAGCAGCATTGTTTGTGTTGTGTGTACATGTGTCCTTAGGTTCATGTTGGGTGGGAATTTCCAAAGAACTGTCAAGATGGAGTAGGAAATATTCTGCCTGCTCAAGTCTATGAAAGAGATTTCCTGATGTTTCTTCAAACAGCCTTTTGCACCTTGCCATCCATTACAGCTTTAATACTAAGCTCTTTGTAACTTAGGTTAAAAATAAATTAAAATAGACTGGGTGATTTCTACTGTAATAAGTTCTCTATTCTCTGTGTCAGGAGGTGATAAGCTGTGTCAAGCTGTTCTCTTCTGAAATACGTCTATTGATGCTGAGTGCAGTTTGGGATAGGAGGCTGACACAATTGAGGCAGCCTGACAGCTGTGGCAACACCCAGCTCTCATCACAGTCAGAAGCCTTCACAGTGTTTATGAAGCTCAGTGTTGTTACCTGTTCTATACACAGCAGAAAGTTGTGCACTTCGAAGAGCCTTGACACAGCCCAGCCATTAGGCAAGTGTCAGACAGAGCAGGACCAAGTCTTGAGTCTGTGCTGTGCCCAGCCTCCAGACTGCAGGCTTCTCTAGTAGGACTCGCTGGCATTCACTAGTAGCACATGCCTAAATTTTCTGAGTCTAAGTGGTCAATTCAGTGACTTCAAAAACAATGGAAACTTTGTTTTAGATCAGATAAACCCAGAGGTGCCTTTTCTCCCAGATGTGACTGAATGGGCTTGGTGATCTTAAAGGTCTTTTCCAACAAAAGCAGTTCTGTGATTCTAGAAATGCAAGGGACTCATGATTAGAGATAATGCATGACACAGGGCAGAATGTGACACTAATGGTGATACAGAAGGGCAAGATTCAATGTGTGTCACTGCCTAATCATCTAATCATCACTGCCTAATCATGCCTAATCAGCTAAGTGTGTTACTTGCAGCAGATGGTGGCTGCAGCTCTTTGAGGTCCCCATTGCCTGCCTACCCGTGCTTCTTTCCTGTCACTGTGAGAGCAAAGACTGGTCTGGGGCATGGTTGCATACAGAAGATTGAGAGGAGCCTTGCCCTGGCCCCCTAACTGAGGAACTAAGGTGAGGGAAGTGACAGGGCAGGGCTGTGTGTGTTGGGTGCAGATGCAGCACGGAGGGAGAGAAGCTGACCATCCTTCCTGAGAGAAGCAGTGTCCAGGACAAGAGGGCAGGGGAGGCGTGGTGGCTTGGGTAGAGGCCTCTTGCTGATGCACAGAGGAATGCTACTATGGGCAGTAGCATTCTTTGCAGCATAGAGAAAATTGAAAAGCCATGCCTCTCAGAGGTAATTGTGTTCAGTGGCTGAAGTCAGTTCTCCTGCAGCTGCCTGTGTCTGGTAATAACAGCATCTCATGCCCTACCGTTTTGGAGGAGTCAGTGATCTCAGAGTTTGACTTTGCCTCTAAAAGCATAAGAACTTGGGTCATCTCTGTGGAACCTCAAACCTGATGATACTAACCTCTCTCTCCCCCTCTCTTCCTGTATGTCCTTTTATGCAGAAGTGGGTTGGTGCATCCCATACGAAAATGACCCTCGATTTCTTTGAATGGGGAATAGTCCTTCCAGAAGTCCTAGAAGTTTACACCACACGTTCTTCCAACAGCACCTCACAGGAGGAGCTGTGTGAGCTGAGAAAAGATCTGCCTTGCAAGCCCTGCGTGTCTTGCCTGACCACCCTAGGTCAGGACAGCCAGTCCCTGCTGTCTGCAGTGAGCAGCAGCACTGGGACCCAGGACCAGTCATATGGGCATTTGTCCATCGATACGGTGACTGTGGCTGATGAATTTACACCTTGTAACTGCCACTGCAACTGTAACAGCGTATACAGGGGACACCAGCATACCAGCCAGGGGGGTAGCAGTGCTGGAGAAACCGGTTACCCCAAGATTAACATTGATGATGAAGACAGAAGGATACCCAGTGACTTGCATCTGGCTGACCTGAGCACACAGGACAAAATACTTGCCTCAGGTTCTGTGTCCACAGGCCACATGAGGAGTACAAGTGTCCCAGCCCACCAGCAAGTAGAAAAGGCTCTGGAAGGAAGGGTGGGGAGCATCCTAGAAGCCCTTTGCTTGCAGCCTGATCAGTGGGATTTGGAAAATCCAACTTCTCTACCTTCTCCTGATGGTGAAAGCGTTTCCTGCAGTGAAGGCTCTTATGACTTCTTTTCTCACACAGCAAAGCCTGGGGACAGTTACCCTATGATTTGCGTAGATTTGGACACTATTGACAGTGGCTTTGTGGACTCAGACTGTGGGAGTCCTGTTGACTGTGAATTTGAGCAAAACAGTCAGAACAGCTGTGGGTCCATCCCTCTTCAGCCACAAGGGGAGGACTTTCCACGCAGCTACGTCAAGCAGTGGGTCTCCTGTCAGTCTGATGGCCCTGTCAATGGGACGCAGACAAACTAAGGACCTGATGTTACCTGGCATGGTGTAGGGCCTTCTCCATACTGTGCCAGGAGCAGTGTTAGCAAAACTTAGAAGAGAAACAAAGTTTACATAAGCTCTATTGCATGCAACTGAAAATTGTCAGACTTATAGAAATATATGCCTATTTCTAGTGCCATTTGTCTCAAATATGATTGATTGATTTTTTTTTTAATTATTTCTTTTTAACAATCCTAGGTCAAACCCCTTTATAATGCCAGAAGAAGCAATTCTATAGCTTAAAAATTACCCTTTAGCTTATGTAGATGTGCAGCCATACAAAGAGTACAAAACTTTAAATTATTTTCCCCGGTATTCTCACATGACTTGAGAATTTGGGTGTACATAGAATCTTAGATCCATACCCCATGGCAAGCATGTTAGTTACATTAAAGTTTCTTTACCTTTTCCAAACAACACAGGTGGTGTTACTTTTCCTGCTAATATATTTGGCTCTCTGAACTCAGCTGTAATAGTTTAATTGTGGAGGCCCCCGGCGCTGTCCATGGGGTATGATCAGAACCAGTCCTTCTATCATCGTCACAGAACTGCATGTCCAAAAAACCAAACAGAAATCAGGTTTCAGAAAGATTTTGCCTTTCTGGGTGGAGCGTGCAAATGAAAGGTCTTGAAAACACGCGTAATCCCAGAAAAACTCTTGCTACCAGAGCTTTCTACTGGATCAGCATATCTCCCAGCATTTTCCAAGCACATTAACTGAAACATTGACAAGCTTTTAGAACTATTCAGAAATGTTTTCCTGCCTGGATGTGCCTGCAACTCCATCCTCTGCCCTAGACCTGGTCTGCGGCAGTTAACAGGTCAGTAGTGCAGAGTCTGAGCAATTTCTGCTAGCTAATAAAGCCAACCGTGACACTGCTAATTGCACTGTGACTATGTTTCCCTCCAACATCTCCCTCTCTGTTTTGTTTAGAATACTTATCTTTAAAAGCTATTGTAATACTTATACAGAATGAGAAGACTTACGTAGCCAAAGTGCTACTAACTCTTGGGCTGCTTGGCTCCAGGAGATATACTGAGAAGAGCTTTGTGGTGCATGTGTGTTTCCAGTGCAGTTATAATCTGGTTTTGCTGTGATACCAATAAACTCTCTTCTTTCTCCCCTCTCTTTCACCCAAGACTTTAGCAACCCCACAGCTCCCTAAGTAAGAGAGAGCACTATAATGAAGAGAAGCTGTTTCTTTCACAAGTAACTGCTGGGAGAGTTTTTCTATGCATCCACATCCCTGGTTTGCCTGTTCAGAGAGCAGCCATGGTCTCTGCTATCTTGATTTTGAACCTGCAGGGCCTTGCCCATGTTGCTACTCCCTCAATCCACCCCTAGCTCAAGGGATTCCAGAGCACTGCTTCAAGAAATCAGAAGGGTTTTTTGGCTCCTTCCATCCCTATTTTTTATTTTCTTGTCATCTTCTTTAAGAAGTCATGGGACGTGTTGTCTTATGCTCATCCACCTTCCTGCTGTGCTGCAGGTTCCCTGCATGCTCTCCATGAGGCAGCAGAGGATGGAGCCTGTTCTGCACCCACTGAGCTGAGCTGGCCCCGTGCTGCCCCACCAGGTTTGCTCTTGTGCTTCTGTCTGTGCCAATGTACACTGGGCAGAAGCATCACTGATGGTCTGGAACAGGGTCTGCAGCTTCATTTCACAGCTATTTGCACTCAGAGACTGTGCTGTGGTTACTGGCCCCAGGTACTTAAGGGAGGAGAGGACACTTGCCTTTCTAGAGCCCTCTTGCATCTCGGCTCTGCACGCTCCTTGGTTCAGCCAATACCGTTGGCATCAGAACTGCTGAAGGAGCTGTTTCTGCCATTGCTACACTATCTACCTGCATATCTGGTAGAAGCTGGTGGTTTGCTGCTACGCTGGGATAGAAGTTCCCTCTGGCCACCCCAGGAGGCAGACTTCCTGGGCAGAGAAGAGCTTGCTTTAATATGTGGCATAAGGATATTAAAATAAGGGAGACTATTTGCTTTGAAGCAAGCTGTAACAACTAATATTTTGGCCAAGGAGTTGCCGACACTGTGGATGTGGAAGGGTCTGAGGTGTGTTTTCCTGTCACTTCTAGCAGCAAATTGAAAAATTTGCCCAGCTTAGCAATATCTAATTTGGAAAAACTGTATTTCCTCAGGAAGGCTAGGGCTAGTTTGCAAGCCCATGGTTTGTTTGGCTTGAGGAGGCTTTCCCTGCTCTTAACAAGCTGTCTCTAGAAGGTCTCACTCCAGCCTTCCATGGCCCCAGTAGCCCACAGTGGCAGATTCCTGAACAGCAGTGTGAAGCACAGTAAGGAGTTGAGTAATAGTGTGGTAAAGGCTTTGGTGGTGAAATGCTTGGGCAGGCAGGCCTGCTTGAAAGCACAGAGTTTGGAACAGGCTGCCTAAGCTGCAGCAGGTGAAATGCAGGAGGCATCTGGGCAGTTCTAAGGCAGAAGGTGTTACGTGCTTGAATGACATTCTGAAGGCTGCTTGCATTTTAGGGGTGCCCTGTTTCTCTTGTTCAGGAGTGTTGTAGCTATAAAAAGCGTAATATCCATTTAGATGGGTAACCATGGGGCTTTATGGGAGTTGGAAGGATTCTTACTGGGGGGGGAAGGACCAGAAGCAGGCACTGGGAGAAGCACCATGACTCAGTCTGCAGTACCTATTTGTAAACATCTGTCTCCATTTCTGCATAGCCCCTGCTCCCCTGTCTCTTGGACCCTAAAGCTAATACTGGCAAGAATGTTTCACAGTCTGTACTTTGCTGCTTCTGCCTTTCTCTGGCCCTAGACCCATGTACATGACTCACTTGATGGATCCCAACTCTAAAGCTATCACAGCAGCATTTCAGCTGGGTGTGAAAGATCTGTTCCTTATGCACTCTCGGATTTGGCATGGAAGTGCTGCAATGCTTTTTGCCTTTGCTTCCCAAGTTGCTACTTTGAGCACAGGCTGTGGAAGAGGTACAGGACAGAGCAGCTCAGGAGTGCCTCAGGTGTTTGACTACAGTTGGGCAGAGGCCTGGGATGGAAGCAGTCTCACCTCACATTCAAACAAGGCTAGGAAATGGCTCTAGGTCACTTAGAGAGCTCTTCTGTTGACCTTTTCTATAGAAACATTGTGAGAAGGTACTTTGGTATTCAGCAAATTACTTGGCTTTTTAAGTGTTAACCCTTTAATAGATGTTCTTCAGTTTCTCCATCACTAACGAGTAATTGCAAACGCAGCTACTTCAGCTCAATCTGATAATCGGAGCAGTTTTTCATTGGTTCTTGAGATTATCTTTAAAATCAGGTACAGTAAGATCTGCTTTATTATGCCACCCCTGCCTGATCTTCAAACCACACAACTTAAACTATCAAGGCACAGAACCAGTGCGAAAAGTGAAGTTTCCTTTGAGCTGGTAAGACAGTTTAACATATTTCTGTGCTACGCATGCTGGTAAATAATGATAGGATACATCTACTGAGCTAAGATACTGAAAAATAACTTATTTACCTAAAAGTGAAATTCTCTATTGTTTCTTGTACTAGGTACCTAGAACAACAAAACCACCAGAAAGGTCTTTGTGCTTTTGTTCTGCTAGATTGCTGAGCACAAAACCACTCTATCTCATTAATTCTGATACAGATTGCACAAGAAAGAACCACTATCTTAAGTAAATTATTTTTAGGTACTCCTCTCTGACTGAAACAGATTAATGCAAATGAATCCAGTCAAAATAGCCCTCAGAAAAAAATACACTTGTTAATGTACGTAAGTGTATATATGTATGTATGAATATGGCTTTATTGCAGTAGTCATCCTTTGTAGCAGCTTTTTTTTTTCAGCCTCTGGGATCCAGGTCTATCAAATCTAGAAGTACATAACTGTTTGTGACCATCCAATTGTGGAAAAACAGCTCTCCAAAGACAAAGGGAGAAAAAGGCTCATTGCACGGGGTTGTCTCTGATACTCTGTGCAGATGAGGAGATCTTCGCCATATGCATGCTGATCATGCGAGTCTACTATGTGCACTTGACATGCTTCTTTCAGACATATGCTTAGAGGCCTAGATATTTAGGAAGTTGATAATCTATTTTTTTTTAAGCACCTACAAAATACCTCTTTGTAGGCGGGGATGACTGAAGAAGTGCCCACGATAAATGATCATGCTCAGCAGCACAATGATTGCTCTGGAGAACGTGCACTTGGGAATGTCCTAACGCACGAGGGACCTGCATGTGGGCACAGACACTGTTCCTGCCACTGTTGTACTTCACAGGTGCAAGTCAGTGTCCTGCCCTTCTTTAGTGCCTGTTGGTGCTGTCTCTGGAAGAGGCTGGAGGAAGGAATTGTGGCCAAGGGAGAGCAGGTCAGTTATGACTAATGGAAGCAGAGTGTTTGTGGGTCTCAAAGACCCACTGTGCACCACTCACTGTATCTTGCTGTGGGAGAGACAGTGAGCAGAGAATATTTTGGAACAGCTCAAACCACTGCCAAATCAGAGCCTGAAGCTTCTGACTTCCACTAAGATTTGGGTGAGGCATCTTTCTATTTGTGTGTTCTCCGGGGCCCCCTGAATGTGAGGGTTAGCCAGAACTTTGGAAATGGATTTCTGGTAATACATAAACAGATACATCAGTGGCAGTCGATCACCTGTCTTTCTGTTGATAAGCAGCTGAGAGCATCTGGAAAATCTGTGTTGTACAGATTCTAGTTAAAATAACTTTTAACTTTTGGAAATGGAGGCAGCTGATGGAAGCACAGGAGGGGAGGGGAAAGGCATAGCTGTAAGGCCTCATTGTCTTGAGCAGGTAATAGGCAGAACTCTGCCCTGGAAACATACAGAAAGCATGGTAACACCATTGCAACCAGCTTGAGACCACCTGGGAACTCAAGATCACCAGTCAGCATCTGGTGCTGAACCAGCACCTGGATTGGTGGCAGATACCTGCTGTATCATTTCAGGGCTTTCTTTCAGCTGTTTGGTCTCTCTTTCCTGCAGA